ATGCCTGGGATCCTCCAGGTCTTACCCACTTACTGTTGTGCTTTGCTAGACTTTTTCTTAATATAATTCCTCTCTGGTTGTGGTCTCTCCCCTGCCCACTGTTCACTGGCAGAAGACCATGTCTGGCTTTCCTTGCCAGCCATACAGGAGCAGGGAAAGTGTGAGAGAAGAGCATGGGACACCTTTACTGTTTTTATATTGTGTGGTGTATGTTGGATGCTAGAATGTAGAAAAACAGATCTGCTTGTCAATAAATATATGAGAGAAGATATTATTTCTTTCATCGTTCTGGTAGGTGATAAGCCTGCAGCCATTTATCAACTGTCCAGTAGAAATAAATGTCTGTTGTCATTTTCTCACATTTAATAACATTATACTTGTTTGTAATTTTAGCTGTTCATCTGAACTGCAACCTTTTTTTTTTTCCTTTTTCAAAGTGAGCATAGAAGAGAAAGGATACTTTAATGAGACTTCCTCCTTTCTTTGACAAGATAACAAAATTACTGTAAAGAACACAAGATTAATTATTTGGATTCAGAAATCCAGAAGACATGCACTTGCTTAAAGTAGAATAAACACCAAGCAGTCTTACTTGGATTTGCAGTGGCTTTGAAGTTGAGTTTGCTTTTGCAAAATTACCAGCATCATTTTTTCAGCTTGCTATTCCAGAGCTGCAACTACATTTTCCTGTCATCCTCTTGGACACATCCCCACCCTGTGTGTAACATAAAGGAGATGATGTATGTCCATATTTCCTTTGTTGGTACACTTTTCTCATATCTCTAAACAGCAAGACCTGAAGTTGTTCAGTGCTCCAGCAAGCAAGGCTAGTAAGCAACCTACTGGAAGCTTTGCTTAAGTAGAAGAGTGTTTTTACCAAATTTGGTACGACAGTGAATAATACTGTGTCTCCATTAGTACTTCTACCCCAATAGCAAAATAACATCATTCTCTCCTGTACCCACAGTTTCAGCTTTCAATATGACCATGCCTGATTATACTGCAGGGGTTATCAGCTGCAGAGCTGGAGCTTCTGGTTGTCCGGTGTGGGATAATTGGGAGTTTGAGGCTTCTGTGAAGATATGGCATAAGATTTGCAGTAGGAAGACAGCTACCTGCTAAAAGTACACAGGCTTATCCTTCTGGAGGTTTATCTAGATGACCAGAAAAGACATGGTCAGCTGCCACACCAAGGAGAATGGGATGGCTTTTTCCTGTCAGAACTTGATATGTAGTAAGGAAAGTTGGCACAAAGTAAAAAATCTTATATTAGAGCTTCTTAAAACACAAACCATGTTTTATTATATTTGCATGGAAGATAGATGAGGATCATCTAATATATGTGATCCATCACAATAGAATATATGTATATTGGGGTAAATTAATGCTATTCCTAATGTGACAGACTTCTCCTGAGGAGGTAAAATCACTTCAGGTCGTTAAATGCTCTCACTTCTCACCAACTGGCCTGGGATTGGCACCGCCCTTCCCTGACATGGTTTCAAAAGCAAACAGCCTCATGAAGTAATGGTTAGGCATACCTGTGGAATCTTGCGTTTTGGCACCTTGTGGCCTCTCTCTGAGTTTCAGGTATTTTACAAGGTGAACTGCTGGACTCCTGCAGCATAGGAGCCCCCAACCCTGTTCCACTGCATGTGTTTTAGCACCCAGTAAAGGCTGCAATTCACAGCAGAGATGTTGAATTATTTTTGGACTCCCCTGCCCCACAGGCCAGGCAGAGGAGAGAACCAAAGCATCTAAATTCTTGTTAAAACTTACACGCCTAAATTCCTGTGTGATTGCAATTTCAGTGAATGTGGTTACAGTACTCGCATTGGGATGCATCTAGTCAAGATGAATTAATGTATATCATCATCCAAAAACAAGGAAAAACCCAATTATCCTGGTTGTTGGGATCATTGCAGAGACAGGGGAGTGCTGAGTTGGGATACACCTAGATCATCCCAGGAAAAAAAAAAAAAAAAGTCCCAATGCTGTTGTTAAGAATATTTTTTTTTTTTTGCATAGGAAGTAACAACATATGTAAAAATCGAATTTTCTGACAATCCCAAATCTACCTAAACATATCCTACATTCCCTGGGGATAATCAGCCCATGAACAACATATACCATATACCATTTTAAAAATGGAGGGTTTTTTGCATTACTTTTTTAAAATGGACTCATCTCCTCCCACTTGTCTTCTCCAGATCCAGCTTTGAAATTATTTACAGTACATTGTGAACTTGTAATCATCTTAGAGATAGTAAAGTATCTCAGCTCTAAAGGGAAGGTGAAATTCCATGACTTTTTGTGATGCAAATATTTTGAAATAGGGAAGACATTCCTTCTTAGCCTTTCAAAGCAGATCATGACATATAATTACAGTAATTTTACTGCAGAGCTACAAATACAAGCATAAGGAAGGCATGTGGGCAGTCCTTCATGGCTAACAAAGGATGAAAAATTTGTAGATTCTCAACTTCCAAACCCAAGATCAGCTGCAGCCCTGGATACAGCAGCAACTGTCAGATAAGTGACAAAAAATTATTTCAAATTATCAATGTCTTCCTAGTGACAGTAGTTCATAATTTTTTTTTTTCTTCAGAAGGTTATCTACTGTATAATTACTCATCTTCCACACAGTTAGAAAATTCTTCCCTGCTCTTCATCTGAATCTGCCTGGAACCATCTTTCAGGCACCTTTTGTGAGTAGTCCAAGAGATTCACCCTGGTTTCAGATTTCTGTATGCAAGTGTCTATACTCAGAGCTTGAGCTACATCTCAGCTTTTTGTCAGTGAGCTGAATAAACTGAGCTGCTTAAGTTTCAAATCATGACTTATTTTCCAGTCCGTGGAGGTACTTGTAACCTTCTTTTGACCTCTCTCCCCTTCTCTGTCTTCATCATTTCTATGACTTTTCTGTGGTGTGAATGAAAAGCCATAAACGGTCAGAGCAAAGGTGTATTGAGCCTACTGCCCTGCCTCCCACATCCGAGACAGTAGCATTAATAAAAGTGAAAAGAAGGTGCTGCTTTCTTCCCTGCTACCTGGTCGAGCATTTGAGTGAAGTTCATTATGTTACATACGTGCTCTTAGCCTGAACTGGGATTGCTTCCCATTTTCTGCTGGACATTCCTGGTTTTATGGATCCAGGGATCACCTTACCGTATTTCTTGCCCTTGCAGTGCCTCAGAAGCTCATGTTGACCCACTACCTATGACCCAATGCCTGTGAATTTTTTTGTAAGTCCTCCATGGTGTCACAGACATGTTTTTTGAAAAATCCTTTTGCCAGGATCTTTTCTCCTGAAAAGCTGGGAAACTTCAGCTTCTCGTGTTTTGCTGCTTTGGAATGTGATTTGGAGAATTGTCTACCCAGCATGTCAAATTGTTTTTTTACTTGATGACCAATGACAGCCACCTGTGTCAAGGCTGTGAGCAGTCACAAGATTTTATTATCATTCCTCTCCTTTCTATCCTTCGGATGAATCCTTTCTCTCTATTCTTTTTAGTATAGTTTTAGTATAGCATTTTAATGTAATATAATATCATAATATAATAAATCAGCCTTCTGAAACATGTAGTCAAGATTGTCATCTCTTCCCTCATCCTGGGACCCTCAAACACAACCATACCATGGAGCTGCACCTTTCCAATACAGCTCACTTGCAAATAAAACACGCAGTCTGATGGAGTGAGTACACGTCCTTCAACCTAGCCTGTTGTCCTTGACTCTCAAGTCCTATTCTGGAAAGCCACCATGTGGCTTTCCATCCTGAACTAGGATGTCAGGTTTTTTTCCAGAAAGAAACATTCTGCACTCCTATCTTCCAAGTTAAAAAGTGCAGAAGATAAGATATTAATATTTGACTTCAGACCACTTCCAAGCTTACCTGCTTTTCACCTTCCATTTCGAGAGTAAGCCTTGCTTGATTTCCAGAGATTTTAGTACAGTGTACTCTAGCCTACTGTAACATGCTTGCAGGAATGTGACCTGAAAGCTTTTAATGCTAGAGGAGTTCTAAAAAGTGTGAGAGCTACTTATAGTAAATAAAATATAATTAAATATTGAGTTGTCTCCTGGGGTTTTTGAGACCATGTGCAGAGAAGGCCTAAAATGTAAATCCAGCACTGACTGTCTGTAAAAGAAAACTGAGATTTCCTTATAATACTATGATCACTCTGGGTGTTGGAGCATTAAAAGTTACAACAGCATTACAGAGGAAGGAATGAGCTGGCAGTACTGCATACACATTTAATTCCTAGGACTTCCAAATGAACATAAGAGAAATCACATACAGAGCTGCAGTTATGCAGATGTTTTCATACCACCACCCATTCTGCTATGCACAAACAGTTACCCTCTCCTCGCAGCTCCCTACCCCATTCCTGCTCTCCATGCATTCTCACCCCTGCATCCTGTGAGTGCTCTTTAGCATCACAGGCACAGGCAGGCGCGTTCCAGTTTCCTTTACCCACATGCAAGACCTATGCCCTCACCCACACCTATGTATTCCAGTCAGTGCATACACACCAGCCCCTGCACTTGCACATGGCATACGTTAGAATTCTGTCCTGGAGACAGGGCAAGACACCGAGGGTCCCTGTTTTCCTGGCATTCAAGGTGTCTGAGTCCTTTTGAGGGGGAACTTCAGCAAAATACCTTTTGCAACTTGCTGGGGTTTAGGAGCCACCAGTGAGGTGAGTATAGGTCTGAGCTGCTCTTTCCCAAATTGAGTGGTTGTGATGGATTATATTTATACCTCCACTGTTCCAGCCTTTCACAAACCATCCCACACATCTCTTATATTAGAAGACTTCAACCTAATATTTTTGAGCTGGGCATATGGGACCATGATTATATCATCTTTATTTGTTTTTCTCCATTCACTCTCACTCCTCCATTCTTCTCTCTCCCTGTCATTATCATTTAAATATCCACTAAAATATTACAGTGGTTTTTACTCCTTACTGTCTTTTTTCCCCCCTTGTTGGCAGATGCTTACCCCAATTCTGAAGTGATCTATGTGTGGACTAACAGCACCACAACATCTGTGGTGGTGGCTGAAGATGGCTCACGACTTAACCAGTACCACCTGATGGGACAAACCGTGGGCACAGAAAACATCAGTACCAGTACAGGTAGGGGGAATATTTCCATCCCACAGTTGCTGATGGCTGGAGCAGGACGGGATACTCACAGGCTCTGGTTACTTTGCAGTAAGGCTAGGGAAGCATCTGTGGGATGTGGAGTGCTAGGGAGATCCTGTGCAGGTTCATGGCCACTTAACAGAGGCATTTAAACACTGAGAGGGTTAAATGCTGGCTCTTAGGTACATTGGTGAAGATACATCCAGGCTCCTGGTATTTACAGGAGTGCCTGAGAAGCCTCACGCAGTTCCTTGGCGATTGCCCCCGCTGTGGCTGCCAGCGCTGTTGCTGGCTTATTTCCCCGTGGGAGGAACCACCCTGGGAGGCAAACACCACCCACGCATTTGATCCGTTTCAATCATCGCTTTAAAATGATTGCTTGATGGAACCCTGGGGGGCAGGGGCGGGGGAGGCTGTGGCATGGCACGGCTCTGCGGCGTGTCCGGGGCACCACGTGGCCGGAGAGGAGGTGCAAACCCCGAGGATCCCCATTCCCTCTCGGTCTGGAAGCGGAGGCGCCAGATGTGGCAGCATTAGGGAGGCAAAGAAGCTTTAATCCCAGGCCGGGCATCCACGTGAGCCGTGCCCCCCTGCTGCTTAAGGCTCCCATGCAAGGGCAGCCCTGGGTGTGCATTGGTGGGGGGGACTCCCGGGGGGTCGAGGCCGGGACAAGGGATCACGTGCGCTCAGTGGGACCGGGGCTTCACCAGCTTACACAATGCACTCGGCTGGAGAGCATTAGTGGCATCCAGCGAAGGGAGGGGGAAGTGGTGGAAATGAAATAGCCTGCCGTGAAGAAAAGGGGGATTTCCACTGCTAGTGGTTGCAAGGGGCTTGGGTTGGGGAAAGGGGCAGCCTGTGGCAACGTGCCTGGGAGCAATTCCTGCAGGCAAAGCCCAACAGATACACCGTGTCCCTGCCGCAAAATGATGGTCAGAGTTGTAGAGTACAACATATAGATTAAATTAGGAACCTTTTATCATCTGTAGGAAATTTAGGAGACATGAAAACAGGTACATACATGTACACTTGCACACAAAGTTAGTTGGACTGAAACGTAAAGACGCATAAAATGTTGTGCTCCAACTGGCAAATAAAGAGGGGACATCTGAGCTTGCTGCTTGTGCTCCAGCAAGGACACCAAATGAGGGAAGGCTTGCCTTGGGGCAGCCACTAAATTTGACTGCCATCTCCATCCTATAGACATTCACCCCCTCCCTTGCCCATTTCAGGAGACACAAAGCTGATGCTAAAGCAAAGATTCATAAAGTCAAGAGAAACATACAAACAGAGTGGTCACTTTTGCAGAAAAAAAATGAGTACACTATCTCCCATAAAAGAATAAAGACACTTTTCCTTACCAGTTCACCATCATAGCCGCGTTGTTTTCTGCAATGAATGGCAGCTCCCCTCTCGCCTTCATTGTTGCCAAGAAAAAGATCCAAAGGATGTACTGGAGCATCTCCTACAACCTCGTCCTGCTCCTTAGAGCAAGAAAACCATGCAGCCCAGGCAGTGAGTGCTCCAGCGTGTCAGCTCCAGGCCACTTCCAGTTTGCCGCTTTGCCTGTGAAAGCTCCTTGTACTCCTCAGCCCAAGGAAACACTCCAGACAAATCCCAAAGTTTCCGCACAGTAAACACCTCCCTCACGTATTTAAGATTTATAATAAATGCTGTGTTTCCAACGTCAAGATTTTATATTAATGTCCTGGGTTACATCTGGGCTGGCTGGATTCTGATTGCAGGGTGGATCACACAGAGCAGGACACAGATTGTAACCGGGGATTAGCAAAATACAAAAATCCGATTTTGCACAGGGAAAGCATCAGTCAACGATGGATTTTCTGGAGTTCATCAAGCTTGTAGGAGGCCAGTAATCGGCATTACTTACGAATGGCCATCAAAGGCATTTCTTCCTTCTATTGAATTGTTAACGTGAAAAAGAAAAACCAAATAGCTATTGCATAATCCAAGTGCTTGGATCTTTTTTGGCTTTTATGACACACAAGTCAAACTACCCAGCCCTTGCAGTTGCATAGACAAAATGTTTGTGTATGTCATAGGTCATTTATGCCCTTCTGTCTAGCAGACTTTTTTTTTAAATGGAAGTTCCAGACCTGTACTGGTTCCTTGGGATTCTGCAGATTTGTAGGCAAGCTGCCTTTTGGCTGCTTTCTCAGAAAAAAATACCCTGGCATTCCTAATTCTACAACCAATCTTGAAACTTGGAACATTTTAGCCATGGCACAGAAAACAGCTCTGTCATGTGCCACCTGGTTTGTTTTTTTTTTTTTTTTCTTTTGGCTGTTTGTTTTTTGGTTTATTGAGGGTTTTTTGTGCTAACATCCCCAAATGTTATTCACCTGAAAGAAAGACATTTTCCTACTCACTCTGCTTCTAACAGAACCAACATCTGTTATGTCCTGGTGGTAAAAGTGCTGAAAACAATCAGATAAGAGATTTCAGTCCAAGTGGATCTTGCTGCTTTCCACAAATGTTTGCCCAGTTATGTTCCCCATACCCAGAATCTCTCATAGCTAACTTAGGATCTGCAGTGGCACAAAACAAAACATAAACCCACTCTTTTGTATACTGCCAGCTGGAGCCTGAGCTCTGCAATATCCAAAGCTGAAATAATAAAAGAATCATTCAGCTCTTCATTTTGAATCAAATAATTCTTATTTTTTTTCTTGAGATGAATATTTCTTTAGTATCACTATAAAAGGGAACATGCATTTTTTATGGGCCAAAATATTCTGGATGTCAGCATAGTCAGGGAGGTGTCTAATGTACCTAATGTCAGGATCTTGCCAGAACAGCCATTGATAGAACTGAGTCCAGGTATATCCAGTAAACAAACAAGCCTGGGGGCTGGTCTACCAGTATCAATTGAATCTCAGCATAATGGCAATGGAATAATGTGTGTAAGATCCTGAAAAGTCTGTAAGCGTGATGTCCAGAACTCCATCAACTATATACCAAAAAAAAAAAAAAAAAAAAAAAAAAAAAGACTGTAGCAGCTTTTAAAGCATAAAAAACCCCTTAAGAGCAGCAGCACAGTTGCACAGCTCCACGAAGTGCAGCCATTTCTGCTCTAGGGCTTTTCATTAGTACTAGATTTGTTTTTGTTTACTAACAATAATTTGTTTTCTGCAGTGATGAGTGGACCCCATCAGGAACAGGATTCTCTTTTAAGTGCTACATAAACCTATAACAAAAATTAGCTCTTGCTCAAGAAAGCTTATGGTCTAAGGATAAACAGTGGCCTTACAGTTGTAAAAGGGAGCTTTGCTACTCCAACAGAGCCAGTATCTTGTTCTGTAAACAAAAGGCCAACTCAGGCAGCTTTTAGATTTACTTTAAGCAGCAGTCCCAGGGCATTAAAAACCAAGCTGTGGGGTTTTCTTAAGCCCTAAGTCTACTGGAGGAAGTATTCCTAGTATAGACATCTCTGAAGGGGACAGCATGGGAAATCAAAGAATTTATCAGCTGGGAGGAAAGCAAGTACAAAATCAAGATGCTGTGATTATTTCAGTAGAGACAAGAGTTTTGATAGGTTAAAGAAAATGGTAAGGTAAAAATGAGCTGTGGAGGGCCATCAGAATGAAGGCACTGATTTTCTGTATTTTAAAAATGAAAAAAAGAGGGTCCTGTTGCTCTTCCGAATCTGTGTAGATTCTTTTTTTATTCCAGCTCTGAGAGCATACTGTCAAAATCGATAATGCACATTGTCACTCTGTAGTGAGCAAGCAGGGAAACTGTGACTCAAACACATCCCAGTGCAGTAGCAACTGAGAAGCAGTCTCTCTGCCTGAGATTACTGAGGCAGGCAGACCCTGCTGCAAATACTCCTTAATAAAGAGCAAGTGGGCTTCCTCCTGAGACCATTGCATGTTCAGCCTCCCTGGTTCAAAATTACACTAAATGGAAGAAAATTAGGCTTTTCTTTGCAGGGGTTTCCTCCCCAGTTTCACAGCATTCCATGTCCATTTCCACATCACTCCTCAGGGAACCGTTTCACCAGAAAATCAGACTCCAGAGAAAGACATCAAGATTGAGACAGGATGTCAGTTAGGTATTTCTGTGTTATTTCACTTTCTGTCTAAAATCCTCAGCATGAACTAGGTCTGTAAACTTGATGCAGAATAGCAGAGCTCCTGTAGCATAGTGTATGTGTGCAGCTATACCTGCAAAAACCCTTTCACTGTAAACCTGTTCTCTGCTAATTAGCCATATTGTCAGTTAGAAGTAATCTGCCAAATCTAATAGCTTAGGTAATGCTGGCAACAGCTCAACTCAAGCTATTCACTCAAGGCAGAATCAGTCTGTTGGACATTTTCCTTCTGTGGATGTTCTGTAGAGACTAACAGTCAAATCTTGCAACAGAGATTACAGCTATAATTGTTCTTGAAGGACAATATATATTTCAAAACAGGCATTTCTCTGATTCATCAGTACCCAACTGAATGATGCGTGCTTTTAAATTTCTTTTATATCAGTGAAGAACTTCTAGGGCTTGAAGGGACGGATTGCTTTTTATTCTTACATTTTGTTTTTACTGTTATTATTCCTAGGTAAATAGTGGCATGCTTTTGCTAGCAAGATTTTGGATTTGGGGAGCAGTTACCATCATGAATAACCTTCAGTAATAACAACTACATGGTTTTCCAGAAATACTCTGAAAGAACCAGGAATAGCCCTCAGTAACAACTATATGGTTTTCCAGGAACAATCTGAAAGAACTGGTTAAGGTTTGAATTTTTTGGAAACATTAGGGAAGGTAACAGCTGGTCTGTTGATTTTTGAGTGCATTTATTTAGGCTTTTATTGAAATTCAGAGAAGCCGATAAATGACATATTAAGGCAATGCTGTGAATTTGGCATATGAAAAAGAAATGGAATTTAGCACTGCTGTGGCAGCTTTTAGGGAATTCTGCATGAAGGCAGTACAATATTCATTGCACAGGTGAACAAGACAGGACACAATATCTCTGCAGAAACAGATAATCTTTTGTAGGGCTGAAGTGTACCAAATTATAGGAACACTTCATGCATTAGAGGGACTTTTTATTTCTGGACCAGCAATCTGAAGGGTTTGGGTACTCAGATTAATAAGACATCCCAGGATCCACATGCAAAGTGGCAGTTCTCACAGAAGATGCTGGGACTGGCAATCCCTAAAATGTGGTGCAGAAGGAGTGTCTGGACCCATTTTCATAATTGAAAACTGATGGCTTGGCCTCAACACTTTAGCTAATGAGGTTGCTAAACCTGCTGCTAAATCAGGTTTCGGAGAGTTGAGGGTCTTAATTGTTACTATGCTACAAGGGTTTGTAGGACTGAGTTGAAACCAGACAGTGTTGGCAGTGCCAGCAAACCAGATTTTTAAGCCTGTGAACATCACAACATTCCAGGTGCATAGGAGGACTGCAGCTTTTCAGTGTAGTAGGAAACAGCAGTCATTGTCTTCTGCTTTGGAGACTGAATGTGAAGACTGTGAGGATCTAGCAGCACCTCTGTCTCAAGTCTTGGTTTCCCACAGCGCAGAAATCCAGACATTTTTCATGAAATTAAGAATGGCTGAGTGATATCCTGAAATGGAGGGTTGGAACTGGCCTCGTTCAGTCCCCAAATCAGTAAGCCTTCCTTATTTTACTCAAATGCACATTTTTCTTCTTCTAGGTGAATATACCATTATGACAGCCCATTTTCATCTAAAAAGAAAAATTGGTTATTTTGTCATCCAAACGTACCTTCCTTGCATTATGACTGTGATCTTATCGCAAGTGTCTTTTTGGCTAAACAGAGAATCTGTCCCTGCTAGAACTGTCTTTGGTGAGTATCCCACTTTCTCCTAGGACACAGACAGCATCTTTGTGGCTTGTGAAAGTGATTTGTTGTAATAAAACCTCAGTTCACTACTGTTTATTTCTGCTTCAGATGTTGTAAACGTTTTCTCATTCTCTTCCAGTTTAAACCCAAAATCAATTTAAAGCCTTGTCTGGGCTGTTTTTGTAAAGTTATGACAGAAATTGGTTAATCAATTATGTGAAAATTAAGGACAGAAGATAGAAGAACCAGATTAGTGTGATTTGTGTTTGGTTTGTTTTAATTTGGGTGGATGCTGGATGGTTTAGAAAAAAAGACATACAGATTATCACATATAATGTATACTCTTGCTAAGCATTTGAAGCAGATATCACTTCAAGACATTTTGTTTATCTTTGTTGTAGGATTTTTATCTGGGAAAACCATGTAGATGTTAATTAGTGACTATTATCTCTATTACCATCAAACAAATTAATATGACTTTGCATTTAGAAAATGTATATTTACTGAAGAAATTGTTATGGAAAAAACCTTTGGGGTGTCATTAAATTACTTGGCTTATTCCTAGAAGGCTGCAGAAAATAAGCACTTTCTCAAATGAAGGGTGATGAAATACAAGATTTTTACTAGGTGAAAAACAAGGGGAGTGGAAACAGATTATTAAGTAAAACTTTGTTCAGATATTTGAAAGGAGTCACTCTTCTGTACCAGCCTCCTGAAGTCAGTTGGCAGCTTTGTTCAAAAATCAGCTCAGCAAGCTGTATGGAGAGAATACAGGTAGTAACACCACTTCGCTGAATTACTCTAGGTTTACAAAGATGTAACTGAGAGTTGAGTTTTTTGATCTTGGGGTAATCTTCCCACAGATGAAAGCGTTGGCTGTTTGTCATTTACTATCATATGGGAAAGGAGGAGCTACAGTCAGGAAAAGCAGTAACAGTCAACAATTTTAAACATGCAATCTCTGTATAAGAGAACAAAATAAGTAATCCCACTTCATTCTGACAGTTATAAACCCTGGGCTTGTGTTACCCTAAAAATCTTTATTTAAACACACTATGGCTAGAACTAACCAGAATTCCATAGAACAAAACATCTGAGGGTGAAGGCTTTAATTTTTTCTTATTCTTTCAAACCATAATATGCAAACACTGATTTCATGTAGCCTTCTTAGATATCCTGCTGAACTAGGACCTGCTCGTAACTCATCTGGGATCCCATAAGTGTTAGCAAACTGATCTCTGACTCTTATTTTTTTTTCTTTGCAGGAGTAACAACAGTCCTCACCATGACCACCTTAAGTATCAGTGCCCGTAACTCTTTGCCAAAAGTGGCCTACGCTACTGCAATGGACTGGTTTATAGCTGTTTGCTATGCCTTTGTATTTTCGGCATTGATTGAATTTGCAACAGTCAACTATTTCACCAAGAGGAGTTGGGCATGGGATGGCAAAAAAGCCCAGGAAGCTGCAAAAATCAAGGTGCTTAACTTACATTTTTTTAAATACCTAAAATAAAATGCAGTTATTCAGTATAGTTTAAATAAATGAATGGTCAATTTTCAGCTTCTTTGTGAAAAAGATATTTAATTACCTCATGATATACTTTTACCTTCCTGTAGAGGAAAAATTGCAAGGAAATATGGTGCCTTTCCTTCACAGAGATAGAGTACCAGTCTCTCATCTGTATGAAGAGGACTGGTTATAGAAGCATGTTGGGCACTGAGTACACAGGACATGGCGTTTCAGTGATCAGACTTCTGATAATAGCGGACATACACCATGAAACATATCTCTGCAGAGCAGTCCCTGTATGCTCTCCTAAATAAATAACAACACTCACATTGAGCTCCATGAGCCGGGGTTCCACCACAGTAAAAAAAGGAACCAAAGACTGCTTCTGTGAAAACACAACTTTTGAGTTTCATGCTGAAATGAAAATTTTGGGATAGGACTGACTCTTAGTAAATCATCTCCTAGAGAGCTCATACCCACAGGCATCCCAAAAGAGCCTACAAAGAGGCCAAGCTGGCAGGGGCAGTGAGCCCTTCCCCACACCCTTTGCAGCAGCTGGGAAAATGACCTTCACATGTTGTCAGCTGTCCATGGGACAGCACCCTCTTCAGATGCCAGACTACATCTCACTGACAACCTGCCAATCACATGCCAGGTGGGATGTGGGTGCAGCCAGTGAGTCTCAGCTTTCTCCCATTAGGGAAAGTCACACTTGAGTAAGAGCTACAAAATCAAGCCAAAAACATCTGTTTGATAGTTGAAGTCAGAATAGCCAGCAGGCATTAGCGGGCATGCTTGATTATGGTGCTCAGTTTTTTGGGTCAGCCCCTTGAGAACATGTTTCCACTTTCTGCTCTTGTGGTATAACATTTTGTTCTTTATGCTGCAGAAAAAAGAGCGCAACTTGCTGGGAAATAAACCAACTAATACCTACAGCACCGGGAAGATGACTCCTGCACCAAACATGCCAAAGGACTCAGCCCCAGCTGTCATCTCAAACACTACAACTGCTCCAGTGAAGCCTGCAGAAGAAAAGCCTGCTGAAAGCAAAAAGACTTACAACAGCATCAGTAAGATTGACAAAATGTCCCGGATAATTTTTCCAGTGCTGTTTGGAACTTTTAACTTAGTTTACTGGGCCACATATTTGAATAGGGAGCCTGTTATTAAAGGTGCCAATTCTCCAAAATAAACTGAAGTACTCTGGAGCCACATGTGAGCCATACTTACAAAGCAGATGCTACCAAGGAAAATTTGAGATCCAGATGACTTTCTACGTTTGGGCAATATTCTTCAGGAAGTTTTTTGCATGTTTAATAATATGTACAAATAATATTGCCTTGATTGTTTCTACATGTAACCTCAGATGTTTTGGAGACGATTATATTACTTACAGCAACGGATCTTTATAAAAGATCAGAAGACATTGAACATGGCTTCTTTGCTGCTGAGTATCTTGCATTGATAGTTTACAAATAAAATAAGTTATATTTTTTAACTGTTCAAGTGTACTACATATCGTGGTTTTTATACTTCAGATGTACAGTCATACAAATATGGGCTTAACCTATATTTTACAGAAGAGCTCCACTATTGTCATCTGATAAGTTACTGAGTAACGCCAGTTGTAAATGTGCCAAATTATTAAGTGTAGGGCTATGTTTGAGCACCTTTACCAGTTACAGGTAGTGCATTACTCCATAGACAAAACTGCTCAGCCCAATTTTCATTGGAAGTTTAATACAATGCAGTAAATCCTAATGGGACTATGATAGTTTTCACTGCTTGAGACTAGTTTGCAGTGAAATAACACAGGGAGCAGGATGCTACTTATGTAAATAAAGATGGTGGAATCTTGCCCTTAAATGAAAATACAAAGTTTGTTTGGATTTTGCATTCCAAAGAATTCTCTCTAATGATTCTCAGTATTTATTCCAAAAATTAAGAATTATATTGCATGAAATTAACATAGATTAGGAATATATTTGTGCAAATAAAACTTCTAACAACAGCACTAGACATTTTTATCAGGGTAAGGTAAACTATGTTTGGACATTTTTCCAAGAAGAAGACTGTGTTTTATTAGCAGAGATTATCAGAAAATAATTACAGTAATTCTGCAATAATTATTACTTGTTTCCCTCTGCAAAAATCAATCAGCTAACACTAGAAAGTGTGATCAGATAAAAAGATGTGCTTCATGACAGCAAGGTGTTTCAGTGACAATATTGACAGAAAGGTCTTTGTACTGTCCATCTGAAACTTTTCTATAAAACGCCTTGCTGCTGACAATGTGTTTTGCTTTCACAATGAATGAGAAAATGCAGTCTGAGTTTTCAGCTCTTTCCTCCTTGGCATCCTTTAATTGTTCCAGAAGCTTTTGTAATTAAATCTTAATGTTTAAATAAAAAATGCATTCAACATTTGATTGCAAAATGTCATTCTTATACTGTCTGTTCTTTTAGAAAGACCAAAGAGCACACCACAGAAGCTGAAGAATTAACTGGAAGGCACACATGCACACACTCAATCTCGTGTGCATGCATGACATATCCTCCCTGTTGCTCAGAAAGGGACATGCCTTGAGTGAACACAGTGAATCAAGTTGTTGCAGAATTAGGTGCTATCCTGCTGTGAAGAAACAATCCCATGATCTTTTGGGGACAGAGGGAGAGTTCATGCTTAGCTTTGAAGTGAGGGTCTGGTCTGGGTTGTTTTGTGTCTTCTCTTCAACACTTTCATTCCTAAAAATTGCCATGAAAAAATTTCAAATGTCTATTGTTTTTTGAAGCTTTTTGTTTGATGCTGTGGAAAGAGAAATTCATAAACTCTGGAGGGCAATAGAGAAGCCATGGGACTGAGCAAGTGACTGGATGCTGATAAACATCAGCAAGGGAGGGGGCACACCCATCTATTCAGTACTAGCCTGAGCTGAGATGAGGATGTGGATCTCTGTTTTCATGTTGCCTGCCTCTGTGTCTTTGAGCAGCCACACACCTCCTTGTTCATCATCCCCTTGGATGATCATCACCCCCTTTGGCCCTTTGGGGTTCAAAAACCTTTAAAAATTGCAGTGCTTATTGCACGGCAAAAGTTTATAAATGAAGTTCTTTGGCTATTTCTTCAGGTGAGAAACCCAAAGAATTACATGACTGAGTTTTGTGAATGAGAAATTCAGAGCCATCTTTGAGTAGCATTTTCTCCAGCCAGTTCTGGAGTCTCCCCAGAGAGTTTCTGTACTTTGTTTTATCTGCTTACAACCAAATCTGATCTTACTCTGTATTACAGCATTATTTCCTGGTCTCAATTGCAGGACTCAGTGAAAGGATCTCTAAATCTGATCTATTTTACTTACATGGAAAGTAATCTTCAACAAAGATGGGTTGTACCTGCAGCATGTGCTTGTGCATGAACTCTAGGTGTCCCACAGTCTGGAACATGCTTCAATAAACCCATACCCTCCAGGCTGGAATACTTAAATGCTATTGCCTCGCATTATATTCTACCTCACAATTCAAATCGCTCCACAGTCAGTGGAACTATTTTTGTAGGAGACCACTACTCATTGAGATGGTATCTGAACTGTGGGAGACAGGAGCATTTTCCAGGTCCTGGCTCAACCAAAACACTTTGGCTTTGTCCTGCCCCAGGCTGGAGTGGTATCTGCATGTGCATCAGCTTCCTCTGGTATCCCCTGGAAGCAGCTTGGGCTTTCAGGAATGGAGTGAGCTGTGTCACTGTCCCCAGCATGGGTGAACTAGGACCCTGCAGGACACAGCTACTTCACAGCTTAGTCATGGGCAAAGGAGTAATAAATAGGAATTTCTTCTCATTGATTTTTTTCATGTATGCTTTCATGAAAAAAGAGTTGAGAAGTGAATTACAACAATTCAGCACTATAGAGGAAGTGTGTGCAGGCTGCTGACAAATTTCCTTCCTTGCACCCAGTAAGAATTAAAGAACAAGTCAAATACAATGGAAGAGATTTTTAATTTCTGGTATTTGAGCTGTGCCAGCTTACTTCAAGGATGAATTTAAGCAACAATGTATTTTCTAAAGCTGAACCCTCTTAGGTTGTCTTGAGTTGTGTTCTGCTTTTTTCTAAATGGAATATGCCCTCTGTGGAATAATTGAACACATTTATACAAAACTGAGGAAGTAATGATTTTATGAAATAATCTCTTCTTTCAAAAATTCTTGCTCAACATCTAAGTTAAACTTTGAAGAAAAATGAATGAAACTGTTTTGCTCTTCATTTTATGCAGAGAAGATGAATGTAGCACTCACAGTTTTTTTAAATCTGGAGATAAAGTTCTTTGTAATAAGGATGTATTTCCCTTAATACCCTTGCTTCTCAGATTGGAATTGACACTGAAATGATAAAATTGCTTGAATCCTTTCTAACCTTTTAGAGGTTTTTATGTCACTACAAATACTTAAGTATGGTCATTGCATGGTGACTCTCAGATGACATCCTTACTTTACCAACGTTGCATCTTCCACTATGTTGTTACAGACATTAGTTCAATTTTGAGAAGATAGAAAGATTGGAAGTTAGATTTTATGAAGCCCAAAGGACTTCTGAAGGATCTTCCAAGGATTACCCCTAATTTAGACTGAAATGTAAGTGTCCCATTCTGTAATGCATTATTTCCTTTTCGGTGCCATCCTCAAAAGCAATTATCACTTCTCACAGGCATAATGTCTTAAAAGTTGCTGCTTAAATTAGTCCCTGGCTAAAAGCAAAGTAAAAAGCAAGAATATTGATTGAAGATACCAACTAATTTCAGTTAGATGAATTTGGAGAGTTTTGGAGAAATATTGATAGATTGCAATGGACTGGATGAAAAACGATAGGCTGGATTTGTAGTTGGGAAAATTACTACAGAGAGGGCAACCACCCACTGCAACTTAACACATAAATGATAATAAATATTGGAGCCAGCCACCCAAGGCAGTTTTGGCCTCAGAGGATCTGGGCCCAGTTCTTCATTCACTGGGGGCTGGTGGTTTTGATGTTCTCAGGACAACTGCTCAAGGGTGGCCTGGCCCCAGAGGAGCAGGCCTGCCTGCCCTGGATGCCCGTGCTTCTGCCAGAAGTCTACACAAAGCTGCTGAAAAGCTGCAGCATGGCAGCATCAGGAGGGATTCTAAAAAACCTGCCCATGAGCCAGAGAGCAGAGAGCCCTGTCTGAAGGACAGAACTGAGAGCACACAGAAACTGTCAGGACCTCTGATGTTCAACTTCCTACCTAAAGGCTCCAGCAGGACGTTAGTCAGAATAAATTGGTTCAGTCAGAATAAATTGGTTCAAGCCTCTTAGAAATCTCTAATATGCCTTCAGCTGGAGGACTCCAGGAGCTGTAGAATACGGATTTCAGGTCCTTCCTTCTTTGTCTCAGAGCAGCCCCAATTCCCTTCTGTGCTTCTCATGGTATATAGGTAGCACTGGGATGCCAGGAAAACCACCAGTAGAGCTCTTCTTCAACACTGAATCTCAGAAAATTCAGGTGCCCAAACTGTTCAGCACTTGAGATGGGGCTCCCAGTTCTAGCAAGTGAGGAATTTGATCCATGACCCCCCCCCCTTATTTCTGCTAGCTAGCTCCCTGCACAGCTACTTTCAGAGATTCATACTTCCCCACTGCACAGGACATACCACAGAGGTATCCCTCGGGTTGAAAAGATACCTTCTGTGAAAGTGCAATGAAAGGTAAATTAAAATGTGGATGCGTTTTGTTGTGCTGGACAATATTACTGAGAACATAAACATTTTATCATTACATGTCATGATATAATGTTCTTTTGTTAAAACCTGTGCTGGATAATCATGACCCTTACCTGAATATACAACGTGAAAGGCTCAGCAAAGGGAGAGAGTGTGCTTACAAGTAAAATAGAAGGATGTGAGTATGAAGAGGAGGAGCAGAAATGAACAAGGCCTGAGGCGTAATGAAGAGTGGTGCTAAAGTATCCCTTTGGCATTAACACACCGAGGACAACAGTAAGAAAACCTTAAGCAGCACCTTTTTTCTTACAGCCTGAGGAGGAGTCAATAATCAATGAACCATATTGCCCCGATCGAGCCTTGGGGATTTCTGACACTCTGCAAGGAAAGAGGGGACACTGTGAGGGTCTTTCTCGAAGTCTGAGTGACTCGATGGTCACATAAAGTTCCGGTCACGGCGCAGGGGTAACCGAGCGCTCTGCCGCCGGCTGGAGGCAGCGCGGGGCGGGGAACCCGGCCCGATCCCTCGCGCTTCCCGCCGCGGCCGCCAGAGGATCCCGCCACCGCGGCAGGATGCGCTGAGGGCGGGATGGGGGCTGCCGGGCGAGGAAGAGGCGGAGCGGCGCCCGACGGAGCCGCCGCGGCAGGGAAGCCACCCCGGCTCCCTCCCATCCCACCCGGGGGTCCCCGCCGGGCCGCCGAGAGCGGGGACGCGGAGCTGGACCTGCTCTCGCCATTTCTCATCATGAATCGCCGCCGGCGTGTCTCCCCTCCGGACAGACAGTAGGTGGTCTTTCTGCCACCTACTGCCTGGCTCACTCGTGCCGCCCCCGGGGAGGTGGCAGAGGCTTGGCGGCGGAGCGAGCCTCCTCCGATGCTGCTGCACCGCCCCAGCTGTTCGCGCTGCTGGGCTCCCCGGCAGGGTTGCCGAGGCCGGGCTAAGCTTTTATTTATTCCAATTGAGTGTGCGTGTGAATACACACATTTTTCTATATGGCCAGCGCAGGGGAAACCCCTTCTTGCATGGCGGGCGCTTCCCGCCCTTGCTTTCCAAACACGCCGGCGCTGCGAGCCGGGATGTGGGCACCGCGACCGGGGAGCCCTAAATAATGCTTGCATAAGCAGCAGCCTTCAGGAAACCTTCAAGTGCCTGCGGACCGTCTCCGTGCGGCCGTGCCAAGCCCCGTGCCGCCGGGACTTTCTCGGGTCGCTGGGAGGCGGCGGCTCCCCTGTTCCCCCGTCCCGCCTCCCGCCCGCCCCACTGCGCCGGTGCTCCCGCAAACTTCACACCAGCGGATCGGCGTACTCCTTGACCGTCAGCATAGCTATTCCTGGTGAAATCCAGGCAACCCCCGAGCATTCGCCTTCCGTTCCCTTCCCCATTTTCTCAGGGCAGCAGGCGGCCTGGCTTCCACCCGCATTTCTCTGCTGGTGACCGAAAAGAGCACAAGCCTTGTAACAAATTATTATCAGCAATTCACGGCAACTGCAATTAAACAAAGTAAACATGAAAGATCTGCTGTATAATCTAGTAAAAAGGCGTTTAGGTTGGAAATAAAAAAAGCCAAAACAAAACAACACAACAAAACCCGAAAGGTTGAAAGAAAACCCCTGAAGTGAATTACTGAGCGTTAATTGCCTGACTCACGACAGATTTTTCTTAAGCGGTGTCGTTCCTTCAAAAATTAACCTCAGGAACAGAACTCCCTACAGCTAGCTCTTCTAGGCATAATGTAGGAGTTATTCTAAAAACAAGACTGCATCTTCCAGCAGATTTTTTTTTTAAATTAAACAATTATAAACGACTCCCCCAGGACATGGAAGTTATGTTTAAGGGAGAAGGAAACAGATTTACACTCCCGAGATTTCTGATCACAGAAAAGTGGTGACTCGCTGTACCTCTGGCATAGTTTTTTGTTTTCTAATTAGCATTACGTAAGTGAAATTTTGTCACTCCCCATTCTGAAAACAAAGGGGAATATTCCAATTACCCTGATGCCTGGTGTAAAGCTCCATACTCCATACACGTGAAGAGAACTGAAGTCGCTAAAAATCACTGTGCTGTTCCTAGTAGAGTAGAAAGACAAAAGTTGTCCAAACCCAAACTATTTTTGTCCTGAATACACTTGACTTATGTCTCATTTCCGAGTTCTCACAACAGAAAAACCTAATTTACTTAAAAGTTCACAATGTACACACAAGTCCATGTAACCTGGTCTACAGTATCGTGTAGACCTCTTCTTTTCTCCGTGTATACATTTTTCTGGCATACCTTGTGCATATACATGTGTATCCATGCATTCGTACAGTGCATGCAAACTTCTGCGTGCATCCACCTAGATACAGAGGCATACCGAAACACACTGCCTGCGTTTGTCTATCTGTCCGTGTAAGCAGCCGCACCGATTACATGGATCTGCGCCCGTGTGTACATCGGGATCTCCGATCACCCGTGTGTACATCGGGATGCCCGTCGCTCCGATCACCCCGAGACCAGCACCCGACCCCTCTCCCTCCTTCTGAAGCCCTGGGCGGAGGGGGGGCTTTCGGCAAGTAATTCTGGGGTTAGGGAGTGAAGGCATCCCGCAAAACATCACGGGGATCCTTCCAGCGGCCGCCCTGTCGGGGGCATGGGGCTGGTGATGTCGGGGAGAAGTCCCGGCTGCCGACTGACTGCGGCTGCCGGGTTTGCTGCTCCCCCTCTCTTGTGTGCGTGTGTGTGCGCCCGCTGGAGCGGGGGCAGGGTTCACTTCCCGGCTCCTCCAGTTGCCGGCGAGGCGGGAACCTGTTGGGCAGGGAGAGGGGACGAGGTGCTCTCCGATGCGGGGCGGTCCCCGGCAGCGCTCCGGTGCCACGCTGCGGGGCTGGCTGCGGGCAGGCGCTCCGCGGGGGGGGCAAGGTGCGCCCCCTCCCCCCGCCCCTGCCCGCCCCCCT